AGCCAGGCTCAGCTCCCAGTCAGTCCTCTGTGCCACTGCGCCCCAAACGTAGCAGATTCTCTGCAGCCTGATTAGACCCCCAGCGCACACCCTCCAGCCTAATTCTATTCTTCTCTTCCCCTGTCTGTCTCTCCCTCCGGCTGTCTGTCCACTCTCTCTCCCTTCCTCCATCCCTCCCTACCTGGGCTGCAGAACCGCATGCACGAGTCTCTCATGCTCTTCGACTCCATCTGTAACAACAAGTTCTTCATCGATACCTCCATCATCCTCTTCCTCAACAAGAAAGATCTCTTTGGCGAGAAGATCAAGAAGTCACCTCTGACCATCTGCTTCCCTGAATACACAGGTGGGTGACCCAGGCTGCCCCTGCCAGAGGCCGAGTCTCCCCCGAAGGGCCTGGGCCTGACCACTCTGGGCACTCTGGAGCAGCGCCCAGGCCACTGAGGAAGCACGCCCCGCTCCTCCCCAGCCGCACACCTGGTCTGTGGCAGGGACTGCCCCCTCCAGAGTCAGAGGTGACACAGGGGTAACGTGGCAGGGACCAGGAGGCAGGACAGAGCCACAAGCTTCGCAGGAGAGCCACCCCCTCCCAGGGCCAGGGCTGGGGCTGGGGCCAGTGACCCCGGATGGAAATTCGGCTCAGCCTGGCCCTGCAGCAGCTGCACTTGCGGGAGGGAGGGTGATGTTGAACCTGCTCTGGCAGCCGCTGCGTCCCTCCATCTCGTTGAGGGCCTTCCTCTTCACTGGTGCTCTGCTCTGCCAAGGATGGTTTTAAAACTCTCCTTGTCCTTCCCCCACGCCCAGGGGGGCACACAGCCTGCCAGTGGGGCTGGCACGCCAGCGTGCCTCCTTACCAAGTGCTTCAGGGCCACTGTGCCCAGCCAGGCCACCGCCCCCTCTCTCCCCACCCTGCCTCTCCCTTCTCTCACCTGAACCTCAGGGGACCGTGCCAAAGCCTGTGCCCTGCCCGGGGCAGCAGCAAAGGGAGGATGGTCAGAGAGCAGACCCACTCTGGGGTTGAGCCGAGGCAAGCACAGGGCAGCTGTCGTCCCTGCAGGCCCACGGAGATCCCCTGTGTCTGACAGAGCTAATGGTGGCACTGCCGTGATCAGGGGAGCCCGCTAGGAGCCCACTCACACTCCCGCCCCAGACTCAGGTCCCAGGGTTACCCAGCTTCTGCCCAGCCAGGAAGTCTCCTGGATTCCAGAAAGACCCATTCCTACCTGCCCACCAGCTGCCTTCACCCCTGTGCGCAAGGCGAAGGGCAAAGCTGAGCCCAGCAGGCCGCCTCCTGGGCTCTGCCTGCCCCCCTGCAGAGGGTGAGTGGGGCCAGGAACATGCCTGCCCTCTCCCCAGTCTGTCACACACGGCAGCTACAGGGGGCAGCCCAGCACCTCGGGGCAGCTAGCTGTTGTGCAGGCCCACCTGCCACCCCACCCCGTGTCAGAGCCGCACGCGCAGCCCCACAATTCCAGTGGGGGGTTCTTCAGGAGACTCCCAGGCCTGCCTTCCTTCCTAGCCTTCCCGAGCGGTCGGGATCCTCCAGCTCCCCTGAGCAGCCTAGCTCCTTAAACCAGGCACTCTAGGGTCCAAGAGCTCCCAAGAACGGGTGATGGGGACAGCCTGTATTTGCTGTGACAGGGGACCGAGGTGCCCTATACAGGGCAGGGCCAGTTCAGGAAGGCCCAGGCCAGGCCCCCACGGGGCGCAGCCTCAGCCTCGGCTAAGGCACCTGGAGGAATTCAGGTCTTTCAAAAGTTTGGGTAAATGGATGGCACCCACTAATCCACCAGCCCCGGCAGATGCCCCCTCTTCAGGGGACAGGCCCAATCCTAAGGCTCACCCTTGCTCTCGGGCAGGGGACCCACTGGAGCCCACTGGGGGGCAAGACTGCATAGCGTGGGTCCTGGCAATGCCGGCCCGGGCCCCAAGGGGAAGTCCTGTGGGTTGGTGAGACAGCCGAGTCTCCAGGACCTTCCTTGGGCCCATGGTAAGCCCCAAACAGTAGGCTGGTGAACAAGTGGTCAGTAGCAATCCTCCAGGGGCGCTCAGATGACCCTGCACGCCCCACCCAACTTCCTGTTCATTTGCTCCAGAGGGCACCTCCCTTCACCACCCACCACCATCTTCGTTGTATTTCCTGGCACTGTGAAGTCCACCTGTCATGTGAATTGCCTCCCCCAGCGCTCCAGTAGCCATGCTTCACCAAGGCGGGACGGCCGTGGTGGCCCTCCTGGAGGACTGGAGCTGGCGCAGTGACATGGGGGCCAGTGGTAGTGTCTGCCACTGCACGCTCTAAGGGCCAGGCTTCAAGGGACTGTGGGCTGCGAACGCTGGACGGAGGTGGGAGGGGCCTTGCTAAGAACCGGTGATGAGACACTGTGCACTGTGATCGGTCGGTGCCTGGGACCGGGCTCAGGACACAGGAAGCTCCTTGCTGCTGGGGTCCAGTGCGCTGACATTGTGCGGGCCTCGCCAACGGCAAGCAGTGGCTGTGCTGAGCGGCTACACCCAGCATCTCCCGCACCTGGTGTCTAACATGGGGCCCAGGAGGTGGCTCTGCCTGCTGGGCAGCCCAGGGCTGCTCCTGCTCCTGACCTGGCTCTGTCTCCACATCCTGGCCGCAGACACCTTTCTTCCTCGCCCTCCCCACCCCCCAGCCCATGGCTCCACTCGCCCCTAGCAGGAGGGAGAGGGCTGGTCCCACGGACTCAAAAAACCAATTGGGCTGTGTCCACCTGGGCCAGCGCCTGGTAGCGTACAGGAACAGCAGCCACTTTTCACAGCGTCTCCGGGCACTTCCGTTCACCCCGAAAGTAGCTCCGTGTCGTGGGACTACTGGGCAGAGCCTCGGGACTCGGGCTGCAGCTGCCAGGCAACGACTGGAAATTATCCATCACCTAGGGACAGTCCCTACCACCCTCGCCACCCCAGCCTAGCAAGGAATTGGCTGAGGGCAGTGGGTGTTATACATGCCAGTGTCCCCTTGAAGGGCCCAATTTGGGGAGACCGAGAGAGAGACAGTGTCAGGCCCCCAAGTGGCTTCTATCCGAAGGCCCATGAAGAAAGAAGTGCAGGCCCCCCTCTGAAAGGTCAGCATGTGGCTCGGACTTAACTGTCTTGCTTCCTGAGAAGCAGGGCTCAGGCAGGGGAGCGTTGGGTCCGGTGGCTGGAGGTGGACGCAGGTCCTGTGGGCCTCTGGTGGGACATGTGGAAGGCAGAGGGTAGCCTATGTAAGGGGAAGAGAGGCGTTGAAGAGGCAGAAGCCTAGGTCAGGCAGTGACTGTGTAACCCTCCTTCCTGTTAGCCGCACTGCTCCTGCCCCTGACAATGCCTCGTACACTGCTCTGCCTTTCTGACCCCACCTCTCACCTCCGCCTCCGCCCTGTTCTTGTGTCTGTTACAGGCCCCAATACCTACGAAGACGCAGCCGCCTACATCCAAGCACAATTTGAGAGCAAAAACCGCTCACCCAACAAAGAAATTTATTGTCACATGACTTGTGCCACAGACACGAATAATATCCAGGTGGTATTCGACGCCGTCACCGACATCATCATTGCCAACAACCTCCGGGGCTGCGGCTTGTACTGACCTCTTGTCCTGTATAGCAACCTATTTGGTAATGATTCCAGCACTCAGAAAAGCTTGCACATGCGCGTGCACGCGCACACATACCACTAACAAATGCAAGTTGGTAAATAAAGTTTAAAAAGGCAGAACAAAATCTTATATACAAATCTATATAACAGTCTTTTTAGTTTGCGTTAGAGAGAGCTGTGGACAGAACTGTGCACCATCTAGCTCACCAAGCACTCACACATTCACAACACACGCACATGCACACTCACACTCAGATACTCACACACACACATTCACTCACTCACTCAAGAGGCGGAGCCTGGGTTGAGTCCCTCCCTTCCAGAGCAGCCTGGGGATGGCCCTCCCTGGACTGGTCTGAGGCCCGCGGAGGCACTGGCCGCCCAGGCCTGGCCGCCTGTTTCTCTGCTTCACCCCGCCCAGGCCCGTGCTCTCAGTTCTGTCCTGCTCTTCTGCAAATTCCAAAACCCTTTAAAAATTGGCCTGCACCCTCAACAGTCCCCTATCCAACACCCCAAATACAGTTCCAAGACACTTTTCTTTTCAATGGTGGTGGTGGTGGTGGTGGTGGATCTCAAGAATTTAGAAGCATCATCGCTCCAACCAACCCCCTTCCCCGCAAGGGAGGGCCCCCAAGAGACCCAGCTCCTGGTCACCCCTGGGCGGCAGGGAGTAGGGAGCCTGGGGCAGCTGTAGCCCAGAGCCAGATTTGTGGCTGACCAGGACCCTGGGCGGGTGGGGGGTTTCACTGGGGCCTCCACCCTCCGGGGGACGCTGCCCCATCACGCCTGGCCCCAACCTGAGGAGAATGGCCCTGGGTGTACTGGTTGGTTGGTTGGTTGTTCAAATCCATGCAATGGTCAGACAGAGCCCTTATCTCTCTCTCTCTGCAGACTGCTTCCCGGACTCTGCTGTTGACGTTGACCTCCCGTAGCATGACCTTTGGGCCTTTGTAAGACACACAGCCTTTCTGTACCAAGCCCCTGTCTAACCTACGACCCCAGAGTGACTGATGGCTGTGCACTTTCGTAGAATGCTGTAGAATTCGGTTTTAGTTGAGTCTTTCCATTTAGAATTTGAAAGGGGGGGGGAAAAATAAAAGAACATTACTCACGTGCTTTGTTAGCTTAAAAACAAAAGGGAAAGGGAAAACCCATTTCCTCCATCTACTTTTCTTATTTTTTGTAAGTAAGCAAGCACCCCCATCTGCGCTCCACCACGGAGCTGGGCCGGTCCTCGCCTGCGCAGTGGGCGGGGTTGGGCAGCTGCGCTCAGGCCATGCCCCTGGAGCCTTGCAGCCAATCGACGTGGGTGGGGGCCCCCAAGCCCCGACCGAAGCCACCCCAACCACACCCTCCCTCCAGGTTTGTAGAGGACAAGCACAGCCCCCACTGGCCAGTAGCTCCCAAAAAAGAATCCCAAAGAGCCCTCTAGCAGCCACCCAGCCCCTTGCGGAAGAGTTCCTCGGACAGGCACGGTGTCTCACCCCGCAGTGGCGCTCCCAGCCTGCGGGCAGCGAGGTTGTGCCGGCTCCTGCGCCCGTGCCCACCCGCAGTCTCGGGGTGCCTCCCTTGCCCCCTTCTCCCGTCAGTGGCCCGTGTCCGCTGCTTCTCGCGTGGGGATGTTTGTGCTGTAGACAAAAAGAACCACAACTTAAATACAAGGTGGAAGGAAAAACCACGGAGAGGACAGACCAAGAGGGACTGTAGTGTTTACATTAAAGCCACAGCTTCATGGCCGGCCCCATGCCATTTCTATCGACTTAGCGTCCAGACCCCTCCACAGTTTTACTTTTAAGACTTAATATTTGCTGAAGACTAGTCACAGCCATTTCAAACTGAAAAGGAGGCAAAAAGACAACACACACAAAAATTTAAAAACCTAGGGAAAAAAAACTTGAAAAACAGAAAAAAGAAAAAAAAGCCCACGGGTCTTTCTAAGCCTTTCTATTCCCAATCGGTGAGGTTTCTGTGATATCTTACACACTGCCAGTCTACTTCTCAAATGGAAAATTCATGTGTAGCTCAATAAAGAGAATGTTTGTCTGTATCTGCCAGTCTCTCACCCTCTGGCTCTTGGATGGTGGTCACTTGGTGGGGCGTGGCTCCGGCAAGGCTGGGGAGTGTGGGGTGGGGTGGGGTGGGGGAACGCTGGCTCTGGGAGGCTGGTGGGCAGAGAGTGAGGGATCAGCCTACCTGGAGCTTAGGCCACTCCCCCTCAGGGATGAGAGAGTGCTGTGCTCAGCAATCAGTGCTCCCAGCGTCAAGTTGTTTAGGACAAGGTGGGAAGAGACAGCTGTCCCAAAGTCCCCTGTACTAAAGGATCCTGTTGTTTCTGTCCCACTGACAACCCCCACCCACCCAACCCAGTCACGGCATGGAGCCCAAGAAGGAAGCCAAAAACTGCTTGGGCCTGCTACACCGAAGGGGGTCTCTCCCCACAGCATCAAGGCCAGGTCTCAAGTGGCCAGGAGGCTTTCCTTCTGCTTTGTCCCTGGAAGCCGGTGTGGGCCAGAGGCAGGGCAGGGGAGTCAGGGCGGTGCCTCCGTCCCCTCCAAGCTGGGCCCTCAGTTGAGCCTGGGCCCTAGGGTGGGGCTAAGGCACAATTTCCCCATACTCACCAGATCTCTCAAAAGCAAGCCTAACAGAATTTGCCCTCAACGTCAAATGAGTTTTCGATAGTCAATTGGAGGCTTTTTTGTTGCTGTCCTGCCTTAGAATGAGCATTAGAAAGTGCTGTTTGGAAAGATTCAGGAGAAGCCATCATTAGATTAGAACCAGGAAAGTGGGTCACATTTTCTTAAAAGGTGCTTGTGATTCTAATGGGCAGCCAGGCTGTCCAAACCCCAAACCACTCACTGCCATCCAGTGGATTCTGGCTTCTAGTGACCCTACAGGACAGAGAACTGGCCCTATGGGTGTCTGAGGCTGTACGTCTTCATGGGAGCAGAAAGCCTCATTGTACTCCTGGGTTTCAGCCACTGACCTTGGGTTTAGTAGCCCAACACATAACCCACTATACCACCGGACACCTTGGCCACGTTTCAGACCTTGCTAATTTAACAAAAAGGGTGGGCAATGAGGAAGAGGCAGTCTCAGAGTGGCTGCCACGCTGTGGTCCCCCTTCTCCCCATGGTGCCTGATTTCAAAGGACCCCTTCCTTCCTCTCCTTCCTGGGGAGGTCACATCAGAGGGTCAAGTCTGCTATTGACAAGCTTAAATGGAAAACCAGGTCCAGGTGGCCCCCTGAGCACACAGGTACATTTCAGCAACACAGGTCAAAGGCCCGCCTGGACCAATATTCTTCTAGAACACTGAAGCCTCAGCAGTCGGGGGAAGCGGGCCACATTGAACCCCAAGATGCTGGCAAAGCAGGACCCATAAGAAAACAGTAACACAATTAGTGACAGAGAGCCAGGGCGGCCCACCATTGGGCCAGAGTACACGGGCTCCTGGCTTTCCGTCTACAAGTTTAAACCAACAGCTGGGCCTCAGCGCTCCTACAGAGCTGGGCATGTGGCAGCCTTGGCCCTGCAGACCCGCCGTGGGGGGAGGGACAGGGTGCCTGAGCCTACCCTTAGCATCCCTCCCAGAACTCCACTCAAGACACTACCAAGTGGATTTCTGGTGGCTTAGTGGGTGACCCACCGAGCTGCTGACCACAAGAAAGGGCAACCCAGAACCCGCAGCTCTGCTGGCGCGACGTCTCAGGGTGCCCTTCAGGCTCCCCTTCCCGGGTTCTTTTCAGCTGACACACTTCTCCTACCTCGGCCGTCAGCCTGTTTCCCGGTGTCCCATGCCATCTTGTCACGGAGCTGGGGCAGATGGCCACAGGGACGTGTCGTCTTTAACGTGTGCCACATGCAAACCCAAGAAATGCTTCATGCTTCAAAAAGAAAGAGGCGCTCCCTCCCATGGTCCTGAAAACTGGAGGGGAACACGGGGGTGGGGGGGAACACGACACATGGAGTTCTGTCTCCTCCAGACACTTCCTGAGGCAGCACGCGGAGGACCCTCCAACAGACCCCGCAGGTCCCGCCGGCCCAAGAGAGTGGTCCCAGCGCCCAGCCACACAGCGCACTAGGAGAGTTTGCCTTTTATTATTGCTTTACAGTAAAAACAGACAAATGGCTATGCTCTTAGCAAAACAAAACAAAATTTTAAAAATCACAGGAATTTACTAACAGCAGTTCAAGGTAAGGCTTTTTCAAAGTTTTATTGAAATAAATTATCTCTGCCTAAATATTTACTCACCACCCTTTTCTCATGACTGTCAACATACTGAAAGGTTGCAGTTATGGAAAACACATTTAACTTTGCCAATAGTTTCAGATAATACTGGATTCTGCTCCAAAGAACTACCCTAAAAGGATGCTTCCAAACATGAAAAAAGTTGGGGTTTTTTTTCAGTCCAAGGGACTGAGCTGTGTAACCTAAGCGTGCTTGTTTCCAATCTTGAAGGCAAATGAGAGCGAGCTGGAGAAGGCCGGGGAACTCAGTGCCCGGCCTATCTGGGTGGATAAACCAGTGAGAACAAAGTTAGGAAAAGGAAGGGCTTGAAGAACAAAAAAGGAAAACGCGCTATCTTTGCAAAAGTCAGGCCCTCCATAACCTACTCCGCCCCATCTTGCAAGGCCTACGTCTCCCCCAGGACCGGCCTCCCTCACTGACCGGGGATGAAAACCAGAGCAGATTGCCTGCCGCCTCCCTTCAGGGCCAGCTTCTCTGGGCCCCAACGACACTGAGACTTGGAGGAGACACACACAAGGCAACTCTAAAAGAGTCCGATCCCAAGATGCCAGGGCCATCAGAGATAAAGCACCCCACTGCTGGACTTCCTCAGGTCAGGCCAGGCCCTGCTGTGGCACAGAGGGCCCTCGCTCCCCCTTCGACACCAGCACCAAGCCAAGAGCTCTTTCTCAGATGCCCTGCCTGTCCAGGGGGCCAGGCACTGGTGGGTCTGGAATGCCAGGCACCAAGAACAGTAGCTTGAGCCCCCACCTCGCCGATGGTGTGGACGGGGCTCGGGGTGTCCGTCCATGGTTTGGCTGCATCTCCCCCACCCACCAGAGCTTGTGCACAAAGCAGACGTCGAAGCTGCCTGCTGCAGGTCTCTGGCTGCCCACTTCCTCTCAACCTCCGCCCAACCCCAAGAAGTCCAGTCAACACCAGAAGAGATCACGCCTAGAGTTAAAATGTGCAGTGTTGCCAAAGGGAGGAGAAATGTCACAAAGTATTACAAAGAAGGATTAAATGTGTCAGCTGTCCAAACACTAGTCAGACCACATGCTTTGTACAGCGCGGCGCGGCGGCCCACTTCTGCACACGGAGGCCTCTCCTCTCGGCACACGCAAGCGCAGGAGCGGCTGCCGAGGAGGCAGCGTTAGGAGGCCTGCTGCTTCTGAAGTCTCCGCTCGGCAGCCGCAGCCAGCATCCTTCGACGGAGGGTCACCGGGTCGGAGGACGTGCCTTCCAAGGGGAGGTAGCTCTCTGAGGCGGAGTCATCTTGAGAACTTTTGTTCAGGAATCGCCTGAGAAACACAGAGGAATGGCATAAGAGAGGCAGGAAGTCCGGGGCCACCCAACAGCGGCTTTTCAAATGTTTCTTTAATGTCTCCATTTTTTCAGACACCTTCATGAAGCTACCACTTGAAAAAGACCTCTCCCCGAACAGAGGAGCGCAGGCACTCTGTACCAGGGAGGGGCCGGCTGAGCACACAAAGTCCTCGGTCTTTGGGCCTGCGCTGGACCCACCAGAATGAGCCCAGTCCAAAGGGCAAAACCACCTCCACACATGCCCCGCCCCCTCCTCCCACCCAGCCAGGAGCCCGTGTTCCCCGACAGAACTACCAGAGGACCAGCGTGAACCTCCCTGGGCCCCCGCGTCCTCAGACCTCGAGTCTTACAGCTAGTGTGGAGGAGCTCCTACCAGAGTGCAGGGATGACACCGGCACGACGGCGCGTCGAAAGACGCTGCTACTGGGTTCCAGCCCAACGTGCACGGGTTTGCTCCACACAAAGCACAGTGAGACCCGGCCTGCCCTCAGGGCTAGCTGCAGACGCGTTCTCTCCATCAGGGGGCCTTCCAAAAGACCCCACCAAAACCACACACTGCTCTCCCGGGGACCTGCTGGGCCAGGTAAAGCCAAGGCAGGGAGGTCAGCTCCGAAGAGGAGGACTACCTGGTGGGATCATCTCCACCTGGCAGAGTTCCTAAAGGACACGGCGATCACAGGGGCTTAGGATGAGGGAGTTGTAGGAAAATGCAAACGTGCCCTGGTGAGAAAGAGGCCAGGGAGGCCACACAAGGAACGTGTCTCCCCTTCATGGCAACACACCTGCTCGATCTTCAAGGACAGCAAGGCCGTCCTATGAGGATCCCCCCGGGGAACCTCTCCGCTTCCACCCCAGCCCTGGTCCCTCAGACCTCGCTCTCTCTGTGCCCCAGACTCCAAGAACACTAAAAACCTTGACAAGGAAGGAGCACGGTATGAGCCCTCTCAGATGCGTGGGCGTGGTGGCCCGGGGCAGGCCGACCGCAGCCCCTTCAGAGAAGGGCGGCGAGGAGCTGGGACCACCACCCTCGCACTGCCTGTCGGCCTCCGCAGAAGCGAGGGCGAGAAACACCCGCTTCATACTTTGATGTCTGTGTTGAATTCAGGTTTCTATGATGCTGTGGCCACACTCCGTGGAGAAACTGACGTAGGGGCTCAAACCTGTAGGCATGGAAGTGTGGCTGTCGCCCTGCGCCTGGGGTGCCAAAGGCAGGGGATCCCACGGCCCGGGCCACCTGGTGCTCCGCCCTCGCCCACAAGCCGAGACCTGGGCTCTCTGAGGGAGGAGAGGGCTCTGCAGTGCTGGAGCTGGGGGCCCGCTCGCAGGGTGAGTGGGGGCACTCACTTGCGCGCCTGCTGCAGGAGGTCGTCCTTGCGCTGCACCAGCATGCGCTGCCTCTCGTCTGCGGACTTGGAGAAGCGGCTGCCCCGGGCCTCGAAGTCCACCAGCTCGCTGGGCTCGGCGTCCATCTCGCTGAAATCCAGTGTCTCCTCCAGCCAGGGGCTGAGGTCCAGGGGCACACGCTCCGTCTGGACACAGGGAAGGAGGCAGAGAGGCAGCTGTAAGCACAGGCCACCTCCGAAGGCCATCACCTTGCCAAAGAGCCCTGGAGGCTTCTCTGGGCTGCCAGCAGAGCAGCAGGAAAGCGGGAGGGCAGAGGGCAGGCTGCACCACTGAGAGCTGACCGATTGTCAGGAAGCACAATTGTCACCAGCGTGAAACCCACAAGCAGCGGGTCTGCAATCGGGACCTTCCTGTTCAATCTCCCAACTGCTCAAAGTGTAAGAGCATGCTTTACCACGGGGTCCGGGGTTACCCGCCTCAGCAAACGGCCAAGCGGATGGTCAAAAGGTAAGCCCTCGGGATCCTTCTTCCTATGCACAGTGTGGGGCGCCATGTAACCGGACATGGGGGGGCTCTTTCTTGGCTGTAGATGCCCCACAGCCTTACGAAGGTGCCTAACGATCTGTCACCCAGGTGACAAGACTGGAGAAGGTCCCTGAGCGGAGGCAGAAGGGGCGGGGCTCCAGGTATGCTGTCCACTCCCTGCCCACCCACCCCCCACCCCCTTTCCGTCTCCAGCCCAGGGAGACGGGCCTGCAGGAGGGCAAGCTGGAGAGCCTTGCAGTTTGAGAGACGGTGGCTGGCGGCTGTCACCCACCTGAGACATCCAACAGACAGACCCCAGCAGAGGCAAACAAAAGGAGAGCGAGCCACGCTGACATCGACTGCCTGTGTGTGTGTGTGTGTGTGTGTGTGTGTGTGTGTGTGTGCGTGCGCGCGTCTGCCTGCACGCCGTGTCTCTCTCCCAGGAGCAAATGTGTGAACTTTGCACAAGAGCACCACTTGGGGGCTCAAGAGGACCACATGCAGGCGGGTGGTCAGAAACAGCTAGTCCAAGTACACAGGCCTATCATTGAGTATCTGGTGCTACTTGGGGCAAGTGCATGTCTACTTACGCATGCTGGGGTCCTATCACCCCACTTCCCTAAGCATGGCCTAAGAAGGGGTTCTAGGGTTAGAGAACACACTATTGAAAGGGGGCGGACACTGAAGAGAGCAGAAGCCCATTCAAGGTCCTTCTGTGGGCTTCTCAGCCTGACACAGGCCTGAGCCGGTGCTGAGGAAGCCCCTGAATGAAGTGAGTCATCGATCAGTATGTCCTACTATGATGGTTTTCGTGGTGGCGAGATGCTAAAAGCTATGGCAGGGGGTTTAAATGGAGAGAAAATGTTTTGAGAAACGATGTACAAATGCGCTTTACACAATTGATATGTGTATGGATTGGGATAACAGTTGTATGAGCCCCCAATAAAATGATTCTTTTAAAAGAAAAACAAAAAACAAAAAACCAATAGTTGAACTTTGCTAATAAAGAACATCTGCCTTGAAAAAAAAAAAAAGAAAGAAAGACAAGTCCCTGGAGAAGGACATCATGCTTGGTAAAGTTGAAGGGTTACAAAAAAGAGGCAGGCCCTCAATCAGATGGATTGACCCAGGGACTGCAACAATGGCTCAAGCATAGGGATTGCTGTGATGATGGCGCAGGCAGGACCAGGCAGTATTTCCTTCAGTTATACATTGGGTCATTAAGTCAGAACTGACTCAATGGTACCTAATGAAAACAACAAGCTTTAAGGATCAGGTTCAGCTTTTAAACATGACTTAGAAATACATCCTGCATGATCTAACTCTTGCTGTGATACTCTTTATACAATTAGTTCAATGTTCATGTTTCATATTTTATGCCTTTATGATAATTCTAACACTTACTATAGCTTTAGCACTACTAATTATTATTTGAATTATCTATGCTTGGGGAACTCTACTTAGCACTGTGGATAAAATGATCATTAGGGCCACAAGCGCCCCTACAGGGAAAACCTAAACTGGTGTTTTAAATAGAAGATAATATCTGATCGAAACCATAAGGGACACATTGGGATTTATTAAGTGGGTGAAGGCAAAGGTCATTACTGAAAAATAAAACTATGTGGACTCTGCTTCCAGAATTTCTAATTTAATCGGACAGGCCTGGAATTTGAAAGTTTGCATTGCCTAAAGCTCCTGGGTGATGCCTATACTGTTGATCCAAGAGAACCGTGGGTGCTAAGGAACATCTTTTTAACAGCAGATCCTAGACTATGGTTTCCCCAATGGACCCTAATTGAATTGTACCTAAACTGCAAAGTGGACAGTGCTATTTCCTTCAAGAAAATCTACATTTTAACCATCAATAATATCCTGTGATATAATAATTTGATATCAATTATAAAAACAGTGAAATTGAATAAACTTATATTAAAATGAAAAAAAAAAAAAAAACCTATGGCAGCAGTGTCTCAAATACAAGCAGGCTACCCATGGACAACAGGTCTCAGCTGGGAGACCCATTTCTGAGCAAAATGGCCACGGAAGCGTGTGCTCAGTCTAACCTGGTGCTGGGGGGAAAGCCCCTCCGATTGGAGACCCGCAAACCAAACTGGGGAGAGTTGTGCCCGCAGCCGAGCTGCCCAAGGACATCAAAGACATCCGACACAAGACCAAACGGTGTCAGCAGGGACGGACGCTGGCACCTGCTGCTCTAGCACGTAAAGGAGCTGGAGCAGAAGGAAGGAACGGTGGCACGAAAACGCTGAAGAGAAGATTCCAAAGGGCACCCTGAGAAGACAGTATTACCATGACCGTGGCACTGGAATTAGAAAATCAGTAGGGAAGAACATGCTCCGCCCTCCTCAAGCTGCAGCGAATGGAGAAGGCAAGCCTCCAGGTGCACAGGAAAGACCCTATGGATAAATATCAAGCAACACAGGAAGCGCCCAAAGGAGGTGGGAAGCCTGATACAGAGTAGCTCTACCACAAGGGGCTGGTCGGTGTGCAACCACTTCAGGAGGGTGCATATCATCGAGAACCAATGGTATCAAAGGCAAAAGGCCAAACTGCACTGAAGGCACTGGAGAAAACAAGGCTCCGGGAACGGAATGAATACCAGTTGAGATGTTTCAACAAATGGATGCAGCGCTGGACGCACCCACTTGCCTATACCAAGAAGACCGCTCCCTGGCCACCTGGCCGGCAGAGATCCTCGTTGTGCCTACTCCAAAGAAAGGCGAGCCAACAAAACGTGGAGATTAATGATTGATATCATTGGTATCGCACACAAGTAAAATTTTGAAGATGCAAAAATGGTTGCAACAGTACACTGACAGGACATGAGGGTGTTACTGCTGATGTCAGATGGGTCTGGGCTGAAAGCAGGGACTGCCAGAAAGTTCACAGACAATGAAAGGCCACACTGGTCACGACAAGCGATGGTAACAGTGCCAAGACTGGGGGTTCTGGAGCACTTCCCTGTTCACCACGGACAGAGGAAAAACTAGCGAACTAAAAGCAACAGTGGGGAGGACGTAGAGATCCCGGGGGTGCTGGAGCAACAGCAATCTAGCTGAGAGGAATTACTGAGAGGCAGAAGAAGGGTGAGCATGATGGTGGGGCAGGAGGAAGGTAAAAGGAAACAGGAAAGATCTAGGAAGCAAAGCTTTGGATAGAGGTATAAACATAAGTGTGTACTCATGTAACTATATTAATTTATGAAAATAGAGGTATTGGCCCATGTACATTTATATAGAAATACATTGAGAAAGTGGACAGACTTTGGGCATCTACTCAAATCCTCCCTCAACGAAAGAACATTTTGTTCTAACAACCTGGCATTCGCTGATGCTCATCCTCCTGGCACAATCACTGAAGGCAAAATTGACACATAAGCAAAAGTGGTGAAGACAGTGGATGGTGTCCGGCTATCAACAGATGCAGCGCTGGGGTCTTAAAGGCTTGAAGTCAAACAAGCGGCCATCTAGCACAGAAGCAACAAGCCCACATGGAAGAAACACACCAGCCTGTGCAATCATGAGGTGTCAATGGAATCGGCTAACAGGTACCGGAAGACCCCAACCAATATGCAGATGACATAAACTTGCTTGTTTAAAGTGAAGAGGACTTGAAGCACTTACTGATGAAGATCAAAGACTGCAGCCTTTGGTGTAAATTGCACCTCACCGTAAAGAAAACAGAAATCCTCGCACCTGAGTCAATAAGCAACAACCTGACAAACGGAGAAGACTCCAGTCGCCAGAATTCCAGGATTTCATAGTCAACATGGCCCACGGAAGCAGCAGTCAAGAACTAAAGCAAGGAATTGCACTGGGCAAATCTGCTGCAAAAGAGCTCTTTCAAAAAATATATAGCTATAAAAATAAAATAGAATTATATGTGCCAACAAGCAAAGATGCCACTCTAAAAACGAAGGCGTTCCCGATCCAACGAGAAAGTAAATAAAGCAGACTAAGCAGACTGGAGACCTGTGGACTATGGACTTGGCAAAGAGGATTAATGAACAAGTACATCTAGAATGCTCCTTAGAAGCATGAATGGTGAGACTTGGTCTTGCATTCTGTGAACATGTCATCAGGAGAGATCAGTGGCTGGTGAAGGGCATCAGTTTGGTAGGGGGTCAATGAAGAGGAGGAGGAGGACCCTCAAAGAGATGAGTGTGACACAGTGGCTGCAATGGTGACCTGGCAGAGAAACGACTGTGAGGGTGGGCGGGACTGGGCAGTGCTTCACTGTTGTACAGAGTTGCACTGAGTTGGAACCAATTTGACAGCACCAACCACAAGCTCCGTATGATTGAGGCACTTTCTCAACCGACCCACCAGTTTTCCAATGATGTACAGTCCATGACGTTTGGGTAGAAGACATTAACTTTAGTAACAGATTAGGAAAAGCCTAACCAGTTTCAAAATGCTAGGTGTGTGGGAGACCAGCCTAATGGCCCCAGCTCATCAGCCTCCATCTGGTTTGGGACGGACCCAGCCACACTCCGAGTCCCGGGCAGGTTAGCGTCACCCTGCCCTTCCTAAATGTGCAGCAAGAGCTCCAGGTGGCAGGGCTGGCCTGTGACTCCTTCCATGGCCAGGTCCTAAGTGTGAGCCTTAGGGAGTGGCAATAGGCCCAGGCAGAAACAAAGGCCAGCCCCTGGGCGCAGCTGCATTCATCAGCTTAGTGCACCTAGCAGAGGAGCCCAGCCTTCCTGCAGGGCTCTTGCCCGCGCCTCACAATGGTGTGTGGGGAGAGGCGGTGGGGGTTGGGAACGACAGAGGAGAGGCCGTGGAGGTGGGGAACGACATCACTGCCAAGTACCATCCCTCGTGCTCAGTCCTTCTAGAGCAACATCTTTACCTGAGTGGACGCTTCCCCCTCCTCCTGTTCACTGCTTGGCCTGTCCATGGAACTGTTCAGTGCAGGTCTAATGCTCTCTGAGCGCTGAAAGAGAAGCAGGCTGTCAGCCCCGCAGTCCCTCCTGAGGAGCCCAGAGGCACAGGCAGCGTCAGAGAAGCACAGGTGGTGAGGACGAGTGAGAGGCAGGGTGCCTTCTGCACACGTGAGGCTGCCAGGTTGGGAGCTGGCCATCAGCTGCCCATTTCACTGCCCTCCAGCACCGCAACCACACAGCAGCGGCCAGCAGGCCCTCGGAAAGACCGTGACGAACCAGCCGCGGGGCGCCTGGCACCAAGGTCAGTGTAGCAGGCCTGGCTCCTCGGCACCTCTTCCTCGTTCACCGGCTCCAGATCTCGGCTTTGGGGCCCACAACCCCCAGGTCGACCACCTCAGTGCTTCTCAGCCAAGGCCCACCTTCCACTGCCGGAGGGCTCTGCCTGGCACCATGGCCTGGGCCTGCCGCCCCAGGAGCAGCCCTGAACCAGTGACTGATGGGAATTGGTGAGGGGACACCCCTCTGGAGGGATAATATGCCCATCCCAGACTGACTCCCACCGGAGGTCCCCAGTAGGGCCAAGCCTCAGTTGCCCACAACACATCTGCTTGCTGACAAACCCTGGACTGGCCACTTTCCCTTCTCCGCCTCCGCCAGCCCACCAGTGCTTACTGGGGTCACATCCACATAAACGATGCACCCGAATCCTCCTCTCAAGTCTGCTTCTGGGAGGCTGACCCGGCCACCAGGTCCCAGAGCCGAGAGCTGCTGAGCCGCACAGAACCCCCAACCCGCAGGAAGCCAGACATGCTCACGGGTCAGGATGTCACTAACCAGTGCTTGTATTTTTCCTAGCCTGAAATTGAGTGCATTTTTGCCAAATTATTTCCTGGTTTTATATAGGTATATATACCTTGGTCCTACCAGAAAGTTTTGTCCTTAAGATGGTAACACAGGTAGGTAATTATGGGCCAGGAAAACTGACCTTTTTTAAAGTTAAAAACACAAGTCTCAGAGACATGTGAATTGTAGCTAACGGAAAACCACACCAACATGCCAGTCTATCAGACACTGAGCATTACATGGGGGCTGGCAAGCACAGGCCAACTCCACCCTATCTCCTGGGTTAGCACCGTTAGCCCAGCCCCGCTCACTCATTTGCATATTACCCACGAGGCCTTCAGTGCTGGCACAGCAGAGCTGAGTAGCTGCCACAGGCAATGTGGCCTCAAAAGTGTAAAAGCGCCACGCCGTGGCACGGTGTTCTATGGAAACGCTTTGACTGACGGAGGGAGGGGCTGCTGCTCTGACCTTCTGGATCAGGGAGGGCAGGCTGGCTGAAAGTGTAGAGATGCCCACACGTCCCCAGATCCCTGTTGGACTGAGTTTTTCCAGCAAGTCTGGGCAAAGTGAAGGAGCTTGGAGAAAACTTTGTACCAAATACTAAGTGACACTCCGTAAGCCAGTCATTTAAACTGCTAATCAGGGAGGAGCAGGCTTTGGGAAGCAGAGCCCATCTGTTGTACTTAAAAACCCAGTTTACCTGTGTGGGGAAAGGGACTTGAATGCGACCTTCTAAAATGTTGTCTGTGGTTATTTCCACGGAGCGCGTCAGCTGGAGGTCCTGCAGCACCAGGTGGGAGGGCACCTGGGGGAACATCTCCTGGATCTGGTGAGCCTACACGGGGAAGAAGAAACGTCCGCGCGACGCCCGCATGGGTTTCCAAAAGAAAGCACAGGCATCCAGCCAGATCCCAGGACAGATCCAACTTCAAAAGTTGAGTTTTTAAAAGTATTGACTTTTCAGCTCAGTATACCGTGGCGTGTTCTCCTCTCAGAACAGCTAGCAAGAGCAACCTTCTGACCGACACCACACAGGTGACAACTGCCTGAGAGAAACCCAACTCCCAAGACAGGCCGCAGGAGTGGCTTCTGGGACACTTGACACACAGGGAGGACAGGCAAATGGCTGGCAGAAGATGGCTGCGTGTAGGAGGGACTACAGGACACAGGGAACGAACGCTAGGGGAGCAGGCCTGGGGCTGTTGCCTACACATGTGAGCCTGGCCAAGCTCAGAGCTGGAAACAGAAACAGGTAAATTCACTCTACATAGATTACACTCCACAAATCCTTACTACTGCCCTGGAGCTAGCGCTCCAACCTGACACCTTGGTCCCAGGTCTGCACAGGGCTGGGGGCGGGGCGCAGCCAGCACAGGTCTCAGCACCCCAGCACCCACTGCCCAGGCTTTCACCTGGTTTTGGTTTGAGCAGAGGAAAGGATAATCTCCGGTTTTCCATAACTGCTAGGGAGTCTCGGGACTGTGTGAAGCCATGCACTGAAGCAAACAGTAAGCCTCCACAGTGTGCCTCCCTCCATGCTCAGCTTGTTGTTATTTATCTACTTTTGGAGGGAACGGCCAGGAGTTTAGAAACCCCATCGGGCAGTCTTGCTGAGTTTTTTATAAAAGGAGTTTGTCGGTCAAGTCCCTAGCGTCCCTAACCTGGGTGGCTCGCCCCCTGGAGAGGGCCAAGGAGTGCCCTGGTTCCGCTCAGAAAAGCCCAGGGTATCTGCCACACAGTGAAGGAAAGCTGGCTCTCAAAATGGCTTCCGATGTCAAGTCAGAGGGGTTGAAGGGGTCTCCATGGGTGAGGGAGATGGCCAGAAGGCCCGGCTGTTCTGCCGAGCTGGTGGTGGGCAGAGCTTACCATGGCATTCAGCTGGGAGTTGCTGGCCTGCGTGATGCCAAGGATGTTGGTGGTGTGCATGACCTCCACGGAAAAACTCGGCAGCCAACTCGCAATCCGGGACCCTGAAACAAACGAGCCCAGCCTGGGCCTGAGCAGCCGCCGCTTTCCCCGGGCCGCCCCTCTACAGCAGGGCCCTGGCAGCCCCGGCTAGCACTGCTGACCTCCGGCAAGCCTTGGGCCGAGCGTTTGTAGGAACCAGCTCATTTCATCCTCTCTAGAGCCCTCCCAGTGTCTCCCCTTTCCTCTTCTCAAGAACCTGGGCCGTGGTCCCTGGAGCATTCTCAACACAAGGTGCCCAAGGTCCCGGAATCTGTAACTCTGGCTGTCAGTATAGGAAGCCTCCAATACTTCCCCACCGGCCTCTCTGCCTCCCAGTGTTCTCACTTGCCCCAACACCCCCCCCACCCCACCCCCGCTCTAAACTCTAGGTCTACAACACTCCCGTCAATCCATTTCCCCTGCTCCGAGGCTCCAGCCTCGACAACCCAGTGCAGACAGCCGCAGGACCTGCTCCCAGAGGCTCCAGCCTCGACA